TCTCCTGATAATTCCCTCCTGAAACATAAATCAATATTGGGTTCATAGATGTTATTGATAATAAATTTGAATATTAATAAACTACTAGTGTGTGTCACAGGGATGAATGATGAAAGGATGAAACGGGCAAGCATGCAAGGGTAAGAAATAGACTAAGAGATGGAGCATCAGTGTTCAATGAGTAGTAGTAGGAAGAGTGCACATGATGTGATGAAAGATGAACAAAGAATGATTCAGGGTGTGGAATAGACCTAAGGAAATAAAGATGAAATAACAGAAGAATAAGGAAAACTAAATTTAGAGATAGAATATGAATTAATAATGTTGATATACTGTATTGTGATAAAACAATAAAAAATAATAATTTCATGTATGCCTCGAAATCACCGCAAGGTAAGGTATACCTATAGTTATAGCATTTATTGACAACATAGACTTTTCAGGACTTCATTACTGACAATTTTCAAATGAATCAGGCAAGTTTTCTTTTTATCTTCATAATCTGAATCTGATATATTCACTTGAATTCATAGTAAATTATGATGTGCAACAATTATAAGAACTTAATTTTTGTCAAGTATATTTTATTTTTTCTCATTGTCCTGTATATATTGTTGACACGATATGAAAAGTATAAAATGTATTTTGAATACTTGACCCTCAGTGTAATATACTAATTAAACTGCATTTATTGTTTATAGAAACAATTAATTTGCTCACTTCTTTATTTGTATATTGCAATAACAATTCATTGTTACAAAATCAAATGTACAGTACTGTATTTAAAATTGTGTATTTTTCATATTTTATGTGGTTTAATGTGATATAATATTTGTCAATATTTTGTAAAAATATATGTAGGATCTTGGATGTAAATTCTCTTCGTAATGTGTTCTTTAAGAGGAACATTATTTTGGAGACAGGAATAATGTTTTCCGGTAAGGCTTAGAGCTTGAGTCGTATCATGACTTATAGAAGGTAGGGCAGCTGGAGTAAGGTGAGGCTCATGTTAACCCTTCAACTCTTCCTGTAATGAAATATTTCACCCTGCACATGTGCCAAATTATTTTTAATTTTTTCTTTAGGTGATAGAATGTGTAAAATAGTAAAAAAAAAAAAAAAAAAAAATCTGTGCCGTACTGTAGCTCCAGCGCTTTCACATAATTGTACTCTGACGGCTGTTTTGTCACCCTTACCCCTGGGAAGGTTTGTACAGTATATTGGTAAGTCAAACATATTTTCTAATATTAGAAATCAAATTAATATTTGATTACTATTTGTGACAAAATAATAACACTCACATACATACAGTATTGACATAGTTTATATTTTGTTTCCTTTAGTGTGTATTTGCAAGTTGTATATTATATTTGTATCAAAGAAGCTTGGATTTTTTTGTAAAGTAGTGTTAAATCAGTATACTGTAGTGTCAATGTTATCAGTATTAATTTAATGTTGCATCAATGTCATTTGTCCAGATATTCCCGGGGGGGAGGATATGTGGTGCTGTCTCTTCACACTTGAAAACATGCAATAATATGTTCCCTGAAGTTTAATTGGTCAAGTGGCAATCTCTGGCTCCACTCGTTTGTATAGCACAGTTAATCCCTTGTGTACAGCTATGTGCCCTCGGGAAGCAAAGGACTGGGAAGTTAGGGTCATGTCATAGAAAGGAAAAGATGTACAACAGAGTTTAAAGGCTGTAAAATGTGAGAAAATTTTGAATCTACAGTCAGGACGTGTCAATTGAAGTAGAGGGGAGAGAACTGGATATTAAATTATTTAATATATAGCCTTGTTCCATATTTAATGTTGATCTTCCCATGTTGGGCCATGGGAATAGGTAACATTTAATAGTTCATAAATTGTTATTTATAATAGCTAATCATCTATCCTTCCAAAGGATGCAGATCACAGTTTGAATGACAGGGTAGAAATCCACACAAGGCTAGCAGTAAATAGGTACCTGGGAGTTAGACAGCTGCTACGGGCTGCTTCCTGGGGGTGTGTAACAAAAAGGAAGCCTGGTAGAGGACCGGGCTGCAGGGATGCTAAGCCCTGAAATCATCTCAAGATAACCTCAAGGAGGCATTTGCTTCTGGTAGATGGTACAGACACGGATGACTTCTTTAGCAAAGGCATCTGTTGGGGTCATTGGAGGCAACATAAATATGGCTGCGCAATTCTTCAATGATAAGTATTTTTCCATTATTTTTCACTCTGGCATTGCTATCTTTTCATCCAAGAGCAACTCATTATATATATGTTATTCAGAATTATCATAAAGTTTGCAGTAACTTCTGCAATACTTATTACCAGGGCATGTTCTCATAGTTTAACTTGGAGCATGTTTCTAGTATATTTTTGTGCATTTATATAATTTTTAAATTTTTTTTTATTTATTTCAGGGTTCTAGAGAGTAATTTAAATGTAAGCACATCTTGTATAAGTAAATATAAGATGGGATATGTTTTGGCAGTGTAGAATTTATTAATTTGGCCATTATAATGAGTAGTAGAATGAGAACTCAGCTCTATAAATTCCAGTTCTTATTCTTGGCTTCAAAACTACAACTCTTTGGTTCTTCACCTCCTAGCTCCTTTAGCAGCTCATGCTCTAATGTCCAGTTCTCATCTCTCTCTTCTCAATCCCTCTCTTGTAAATGCTACTCTCCTTATTTTTGCTCCAAGATCCAACTGACTGCATCATAATTTTTATGTAGAAACAAGAAGAAACAATTGTGAAAGTAGATACAGTATGTAGGTGATGAAGTGGGACATTCTTTCAAAGCTGCTAACATGCATAACATTTTGGAGAAGTCATAAACCTAACACAGAATTTGCAGTGAATTTCAAATTACAAGGTGAAACAGGCACACATTCTAGTCTTTGCTATATGCTATACATTCTCTCCTACAATGCATACCCCTCAACTTTACAGCTAATTATGGGATCTTCTATGCTATATGTCTGAAATTCAGAGGTTGCCTTGTTACCACAAACATACCTTGCCATATTCCAGCTCTGCTATCCGTTTTGCAAGAGTTGTGCTCCAGCTCCCAGTCTTATATTCCAGAGTTTATGGTATGTGATCTCAAAACCAGGTGAAATATTTAATAAATAATGAAATAAACTTTCTTGCTGTCATTTTATTCTGTATGAATTTTATTTGATTTATTGCAGTTCTAATTCATGATGCTTGTTTGGGATTCCAGCAACTGTATTGCCTTAATGTTCTTATCCAGTGGGTCTAACTTATGGGAAGATTCTTGTGGGGAAACACTGTTTATATGAATAGCTTGATATTAACATAGCATAATATTGTCTTAGGAAAACATTGATGTATGAATGAATATTTGAGCGAATTTAGCTTGCATGGGGAATGTCTAATAGTGAGGTGATGCTGATTATAATTACATTTTTGTACATATTTTGTACCCAAAGCATGTACAGGTGCATTCCTCAGCAATAAATATAAAAGTGGGCTTCTGTTTTATTTACTTTACCTAATTAGATTATTGTAAGAGTTGTTTATCTGGAGGATATTTGGTGCCCTCGTAAAATTCTCAAGTGGTTTGTCTCTGACCAGACCACACACTAGAAGGTGAAGGGACGACGATGTTTCGGTCCGTCCTGGACCATTCTCAAGTCGATTGGTCTGGTCAACATACTTTAGCCACGTTATTGTGTCTCATCGCCTGCATATGGTTTGTCTCTTCCCTTTCATTACTAATTTTTGAAGCATTAGTGCCTTTGGAAAACTCTTAAGCAATGCATTTCCTCCTTTCTCCTTATTACTCTCCCATAAAAAGTGCATTCTGTGGAACTGTTAGTAATAATCAATGTTAAAAAAATATGTAGTGAAATATCTATTTTTGGAAATACATATTGTATTATGTCTTTGTAGTGTCCTCTTAGCCAGGATTCATCAAGCATTTATGCAACCACTTGTAAATCCTCCACATCTTTCCTCAATCATGGCAGATTTGTTTACATTTATTAAACAATTTATGAGCTCCAAAGCACTTCAAGGTTGTCTATAACATTAATAATGTTTGGTTATAAAGTTTTGAAGCTCACAAACTGTTTAATAAATGTAAACAAAGCAGTAATGATTGTTGAAAGATGTATAGGTTTCTTAAGTGGTTGTATTAATGTTTGATGACTTGGTTTAAGGAGATCAACTTGATGCTGGGGCAAAGAGGAATATCAGTAAATGTACAGAGAAGACAAAGATGGATAGTACTGTAAATTCAAAACAAGATTTTGTTGTACAGTACTGCAGAGAGATCCATTGATTTTATTCACAGCTGATTCACACAAATCATTACAATCATGGCTGGACTAAACAGTAGTTTAATTGTAAAAATCTTATGACCTTCAATTAGTGGTAAGTTAAAACAACTCTCATAAGCTGCCAGTAATTATAACATTTGTTTATTACATGCAGCTTTTGCTAGCATGTAATAAAGTTTTAGCATGTATTATACAAAGGAGAAGCTGAAACTCTTGCTATGTTCATTAATTAAATTTGTGAGTAAACCAGCCAATTAACGACAATCAACATTCATGTACCAAAATGATTGTTAGGTTGATTTTTCTATCTGAAACTTTTTTCATAAATACTGTATTAAATGTTTAGTGTCTTTGTTGAAAAGATGCATTCTATTAATGAAAACCACCTATTAAATGTGCGACAATTTTATCGGTGTGCGTGGAGGGCCAATGTTCCAGGCAACAATATATTTGTAATTTTTCACACCACAATATATAGGCACTGTGGCACTTTGATTGTCAACTTGCTTTAGCGTCTCCTACCACCTACTTTCATTTTATTTTGTTATAAAATGCGTTTTTTTAATACAGTACAATTAAATTTTTTCATGTGCTACACTCTGCACCAACACTTATGTTCAATCACCATCCTGCCAGAAGTTGTTGATCCATATGTAAGAAATATAATTACGATTAGATGTAATCTTTGGAATAATTAATATTACCTTGGAATTTCATCTTTTATTGAGAGTAATAAAATAATAGTCAGGGATGGTAGATATACTATCTATTTAACAGAATTGCCAAGATTGTCTGGGTTACAATGGTATTTTGGACAACAGTCTGGGAAGTGTGCGTTTATGTCGACCTGCACGATACATTTGTAAGTGGTGTTGAAAATCTCGGAATCACATCTGGAAAATAAAATTTCAAGGTGTTAATGACATGCTTTACTGGATACGTAAGTGATTTTTTGCAATTATTTTATAGGAATGGTTTCGTATTTGGCTTAAAACCTATCAACTTCTGGAGGGTTATTTAGGCCTGTCAACCTATATTCGGGCCAACATCCTTCTTAACTTGTTCAGTATTTAAGTTTCAATGAGATCTGCCTTGTCATGCCTAGTTTACAGTGTTGTTAGTCCTGTGGCCTTCAAGCATTCCTGATATGAGATCCTGATAAGCATTTGCCAGTCTTCTGACCATTTGTGGAGAAATGTTAATGTTGATTATCTAGTATTAAAATAAAAAAAATCAACTGTTGTAAATGACATTATCAAGTTTTAAATATTTACTCATATACTAATCAAGTGTCTGGGCCTGAAGTGTACTCACGAGTCAGTTTCTATGATGAAGGAACCCCGAAAGTGTATACAGGTGCGACGTCGACAGCCCTGAGTGTACCACGTCTGGCCGGCGAAGTAGAACCCTTCCTTCGTGTCGCAGCCTCCTCCTCCTGTTCACATACACACACACAAAATTACATGTACGTAGAATAATAGATCACTCGTATTCGAATTATAATTTATGACAAGTATTCCTTGCAAAGTGCTTGAGAAAGTAATCAGGTTGATAATAATGGAGCACCTGCAGAGGATGATCTTGCAAAGGGAGGCCAGCGTGGATTCAGAGTGGAAAGCCATGTCTGACAAACTTAATAAAAGTTATGTAATAAGGAAAACAGAAGGCTGGGTAGATTGCATATTCCCAGATTTTCAAAAAGCGCTTTGATAGTGTTTTATCATGAACGACTGGTGTACCAGAGGGAGAAGCAAGTTGGGAAAACACTGAACTGCATAAGGGATTACCTGAAGGACAAAAAGGGGGACAGTCAGAGAAGTGTGGTCGAACTGGACGGATGTGACAAGTACGTGTGGGTTCCCCAAGGCTCGGTCCTCCGACTCCTGCTGTTCCTAATTTATGTGAACGCTGTACTTTGTTGAAAGGAGCCCTTATACATACCAAAGTTTGCAGATGACACAAAGCTAATGAGTAATGGGAAAACCGATGAAGAATGCAGAAAATTACAAAGAGGACCTTAACAGACTCTAGGAGTGGGCAAACAAATATACAGATTTGGGAGTGGACATCTAATTCCAGCAAACATTAGAATTTTAATTAGAAACCTAAATAAGAACTTTTTAAGGCAATTTTCACAGCCTTTATTAGAAAAAACTTGAATATGCAGCACTGACCTGGAATCCCTGCACCTTGTGAAGCACAAAATATACATTTAAAAAGCGCATAGGTTTGAACAAGTGAACAAGTGTTTGAAGTGTCAGGATATGTTAAAGGGACAAAATCTCGCAACCACAGAAAAAACTGGGAGATGTGATCACAAAAATGCTGAGGTGAATAGACAAGGTGGACAAGGAGCCTCTTTAAATTAAGAGAATGTATTACAAGAGGACATGAGCAGAAATTTTACACGAAAATAAGTTAAAGAAATGTAAGGAAATGTTCGTACCCTGTACGGATGGTCAATAAGTTGTATGCACTGAAAGTAGTAGTTGTGGAACTACCTCCATCCAACAAGACTATAGTAGGCAGGGCATAAAGAGCTGAACTTCACTTTAACGTAGTCAGTGATAGGTAAGAACAACCTCCCTGTCCCGGGAGGTGGGGCCCCGTAGAGGACTCTCCTCCCAAAAATCCCCCTGAAGGGGGAGGGGGGGATCCCCAACCAGTGTGTTATATGCCTCATCATCTTCCTGTTGTGTTGGCTTTTACTTGTCCAAACCACTTTCTCCACCACCACCACCGCCCACTCCCTGCAACCACCACCACCACTCCCCAACCAGGTTGATAATAATCAACCTGCTGTAATGTAATGTGGCTTGACAAACCAGGCATGACAGGGCGGATCTCATTGAAACTTAAAATACTGAACAATTTGAAGAATGTTGATCTGGATAATTTCTTCAAAAGGTCAGATGTAACACGAACGAGGAACAACGGTTTCAAGCTCAACAAACCACACTCTAGGACTGAGAACAGGAGGTGATTTTTCACCCATAGGGCAAGCCCATGTTCAGACCTAAGTTCATTCCATTCAGCGGTTGACCCCAAAGACGCATTCATCAATTTTAACATGCCGTTCGTTCAAACCAGAAATTTTCTCAAATATAAATTAATATTATTTTATATTACCATGTTGTTGTTATAGATCCAGCTACCCAGAACAAGTTCCAAGTAGCATGAGCCCGTAATGGACATACCTGGTACAAGAGCGGTCTCTAAATTGAGAGGCTACTAACACTAAGGTTTTAGTGGCCCTCAGGTAAACTACTGCTCACAGGATAAGTATGGGGACTCGGGGTGGTAAGACATGAAATTAGGGCTGCAGCCAAGGAGCCTTTGCCAGTAGACTAACTTTAATTTGCTTATCATGGGTTTTTAGCATGTTGTATGCATTGTTATTTTGCATATTAATGAGTTGTTGAAAAATTATTATTTTGCAGCTCCCAGAGAAGAAAGGGGGGAAGAGAATTAAATTTTCAGTTGAGGCGACCATGCAGTTTCTATTATCTGTAGTTTCAGACATGGTAGTTATTCTTTAAAGCGTATTTATAACATGAAGATTGGATGTTTATAGAAAAGATAGTAAAAGCTTGATTGCGTATCATCTATTTACCAGTGATTAGTTTTGGGATTTTTGTATTTAGTAGTGAACGTCGTCATAAGAAGAGCTGGCACCACTGTAAACAGAAGCTGAAGTAGGTTTTGCCACAACTTGAGTAGTCAGACGATGTGTGGCCACCGGTGAGGACGGTCCTGTGCTGGACAGCTGTTCATTTTCATGTTAAGTTGGTTAGTTACCCATACTTATTTTATTTACGTAGTGTTTTAATATGTCAGGCAGTGTTCCTCAATTGTAGATGTAACTTATAATGTATATATTGGAATAATGTAAGTGATAAACCTGGTCGAAGCCTCATAGGGCTAATAAAACACTGTTGTTAGATACCTTCAACAACAGGGAAGGTTGTAGGAAGGAGAACGGATGTTTTTTCTCACTCAGTTATACACTTATGGGGAATACCGAAACGCAGCTGAATTTCAAACTCATCAGAACCAATGAGGGGGACATTTGACAAGCCGCCGGCTTTATGTCCTCGTCGAGGCCACTAGAGAGACTGTCTCTGGTAAATTTGTGGAATATTGCTCGTGAAAGCTAGTTAGAGATGTAAAGAGACGCTGGTCTCAAATAGTCAGTGATTGATATTAAGTTCATTGGTGCCTATTGCCGCTTTCCTTCAAAACTGGAACATTTAGGTTTTGAATTTAACGTATTCTTGAGAGAAGAGTTACTCCAAGACGAAACATTAAAGACTGAACCGACCACAAGAATGACTAAATATTTGTTCTTAGGGCAACTGTTTCTCTGCATCACTTGCAAGTTTAAATGTATTCATTTGTCTTAAGATATTTTAAATTTCAGAACTTGTCAATTTTGGTTTGCAAACTTTTGTCCATAAAAGCAAGAGAATAATGGAAAGGAAATATCACTAACCTTCAGTAGAGTAGACATGAGGTTGTTTGTTAGAGATATGTGTTTGAGGCGAGGCTTGCAGAGTCTGAGGTGCTCCTCGAAGTGGCGGAGTGGGAGGCGGTCCTTGAAGAAGCAGACTATGGGGCCTCACCGGCGCGTGATCCGGCTTCTCAGGAAAGGGTGGGCCGTAAGAAGACAGTCCTGTCACGCCTCCGAGGAAAGATCCGGAGAAAAACGGGTTCTGCCGGAGCGCCTCATAGGTGAAAATAGCACTAGGTTCCTCGTGGTAAATAAAATGTCCATCACTTTCATCCACACTATCTCCGAGCCTTGTGTGGGCGCCTGGGTGTGGCTTCCTGGGCATGCCTGCAGCCCCCCACGATAAAAGGGGCAGCTCAACAAGCACCAAAACCACTACATATATTGACTCTCTTAACATGGCTAGTCTTCCGGACACTGTAGGTGCTCCACCTCACACTAACCTCGTCCTGGACTGTGTAAAGGCCAGATATATTTATCGTTCAACGACTTGAAGCAACTATAAATCTGTCACAAAATACACTGGGTTTAGGGATTATATATGTACTAGTCACTGAAAAAATATTGTACCAGAAACATTAAAAACATGTTTAATGTAACAATCAACCAGTCCTCAGGGAGGAGGTACTCTGGAGGTAATCACTTCAAAACCATTATGTAATTAGTGCTATTATTTACCCCCTGTCCATGGTTAGGTTAGGTTAATTACATTTGTTTGTTAATATGATGTATTATTCTCAAACGTGAATATATTAAATTTAAATCTATTTGAGTATCCCCTAGAATTGTATTCATATAAAACCAAATTCTTCAGACCATCTCAAAGAAAATGAGTGAAGCATAGACTTTATATTTTAAACTAACGATTTATAATACAATAATGTTATAACTTGAGAATATTATCTGTTTAGGACAAAATTTAACTTGCCAGTTTACAAGTGGAATATTATTGTAACTGTATTATGCTGTCATACCATCACAAATATCTAGATAACTATCCAGGTGATGTGAGAATGAGTCTGGTGCCCCATGGCCATCACTCTGCTCTGAGGACAGGCGCTATTATTTATATAAAACAGAGCTTTCTGAAATATAAACATTGATTTTTCTGTTAAATTCGACCTAAAACGTTCTCGAAAAATATAAGTAAAATAATATTCAATGCTAATATTGAAATGTAGAGAAATACTTGTTATAACAATTTGAGATGAATCAGATTGGTAATAATTTTTGTTTTCGGAAAAAAAATACATGAATTTGTTGATCAAAATGTATATGTAATTGTTTACAAGATATTACAAAAATATCGACAAAATAATTTCAAGAAATTAAAGAAAAAAAATCGAAAAAATATCAATGTGGATTTGCATTTCCATATCACTTAAAACATTTATAACCGAATTATCACATCACTGTGAGCAGCGGCTCGATGCCCTCATCTCTACAGTTATTGAAATTCTTAGATCAACGCCTTAATCATTCTAACACTAGTACTGTCGTGGTGTTGGTAGGAACAAAATAGCGTCGCTAACAGGAACCGTCCAAATAGACAATTTGCGGCGTACTGTACAACCACTGTTGGATTTTACCACGTAAAGAGTGTTGTTACACCCGCTGCTCTAGCCACCACTCTATGAATAAACACATTTCTTCGTGTTTATGAATAGAGAAGTTGTCACTTTACCCGTTTATAAGTCACTGAGTGTGCACTCTCATAGGTTGCACTCAACACAGTTCTTCACCTCAGGCACTTGTTTATGAGGTGTGATTTGCATACCCATGTCTTTTTAAAACAGAAATAGCATTTTGATTTCATGATATAAATTGTAATTGTCAGTTTCCATTCGCGCGGCATGGGGTGCATAATAAAGAAAGAAATTGAATTGCGGCTTCGGTTTTCAAGAACGAGGCTTCCATCGGGACGACAACTGTTGCAGCAGGTGTCGGCGGGTCTGGCACAATAGATAACACAGGTGTGGGCAGGTCTGGCACAATAGATGCGCAGGTGTTGGTGGGCCTGGCACAATAGAGGCACAGGTGTCGGCGGGTCTGGCACAATAGGTACTGGGGAACGGGCTGGCTGTTACAAGAACTTCAGGAAGTTTTGTCCGGGTTGGAAGAAGAGTCCGCAAGATGCTGACGTACCCCATTCGCTCGTGGAGGCTCCAAGAGCACAACTGACTGACTTACCTCTCTCCTTACCTTTAGACCCGCCAACACTACTCAGGACCAGGTGCATCGCGGTGGGCGGAGCACGGTTGCCTGTCCGCACTCTTACATGAATGGTTCCATGAGCAATCTTGCGCGCGAGAGTTTTGGAGATCACTTGCAACACATTGTTAATGGGTTTTCCAGTAGATTGTAGGTGTGCAACAGATGGTAGATGGAGGATCAGAACCCGCTTGTTACCTCGCCTTGCATTAGATGATCAACCGAAGCTGAGACTGGCTGGCTCACCAATAACAACTAAGATATCTCACTAAGAACAATTATCTGTCTTCAAAATAATGAATCTATCTGAATCCATTTTTAGTTGAAGTAATTAGTTGTAATTGGATAATTTTTTAAACTTTTAAACTGCGTTCGTTAATTAGCGACCAATCAAGACCGTTGCCAATATCTTCTTCCGCCTCTGAGGTACCAAACCTCACCATTCTCTCGCTGTGTCACAAGATGATTATTGCGAAACTATAAAGTAGCTGTGTACTTAGCAATATATACTTGAGGAGTGTTGAAATGAAAGCGACGTGTATGTATGTGTATATATATATATATATATATATAAATATATATTATATAAACGGGGAACAGCCTCGTATGGGCTAATAGGCTTTCTGCAGTTTCAAATTATTATGTTCTTATATTGTAAAACATGAACTAAACCATGATTTAGAGGTGTAAGCAATAAATTAAGAATGTCTGTCGTGAGCTATCACTGCAGCAGAGACAGTTCCACAATGACTGGTTGAACACTATACGTTGTGTCGTGCCATTTAAAGCAAGAGTCATCTCGCTGTAATTCTAGACACTAATCTCAGACTAGTCCAGTCAGCAGAGAGAAAGTACTTAAGGTGTCTGGAAGATTTGGAAATGTAGGGAGATAAATGGAGCAAAATATAAATGAGATTACGATGTAGAGCTTGTAAAGAACCAGAGGCAGTGTAAGTGATGACTGCATCGTGAAATGCAATTGTACTCTAGTACAATTGTAATTTCAATTGTAATACAATTGTAATTTTTTGTTGAATTATCTGCATGTCTCTTGCAAATTGTCTATACAGTATACCTAGGTCATAAAAGTATTTGTGTGTACGTCTGATACCATACTACTTGTATAAATGTGGAAATGTAGATGTTTATCTCTCAGAATGTTTGGTAATATGTTTATTGCTTGTGATGTGTGTCTATGTATGTATTAACACGATGTACTGAACGGGGTAAGAATAGCTTGAGCTACCTCATCCCTTTGTGTGTATTTTACCTCAATAAACTTATTTCAATTTCAATCAAATTATACTCTCCCAAGTGATGTAGCATCAACGTTAAATAATGCAACGAGGATTCACTGTGACATAAACGCGGTTTTCCCGAGCGTTGATCTAGATTAAGAGGATTGAAAGCTGACAATTCTTCAGAACCAATGGAAAAAAACAGGCAGAACTTGGTGTTTCCCATAGGCTCCGTACTAGAAACAAATATCTTTTTTGATAATCCATGAGTGCGACTTAACCAAAGCAGAAATGCTCTGCAAATCATGGGTCCCAAAATGTTGTAATCACATTAACGACTGTCCTCACAACCAATATAAAAAGAAACTAAGAGCTACCTAATCAACTCTAACTAACCTTACTTCTAAATGTAAACCTATGTTTTGCTGTCATTAAACATTACTTACAGCACTTGAACTGATACCGATATCTGCCGTGTAAAAATTTCTTTAATAATTGTATACCATCTGTTTATTCTGCGAAAATTACCAACTGTTATTCTGTTGCAATTTTTGTTGTTTCAATTATCACGTAATTTTTTTCATTTTTTTCCAATTTTTCTACCATTATGTTTATATTTCTGTACTTTAATTCATTACTGTTTCTGAGCTCACTTACTTTTAAGTTACCCCGTTGAGCTCCTGTTTGATTTTCATTGTTGCCGCCGGAGGCGGCTAGTTTATTGTGCACCCCATACTCATCCTGTGAGCGGTAGCGCAAAAAGCATTACAGAGGGCACAAAAGGTCTTTATCAGACCTCATCTTAGATTATTACATAAACAATTTCAAATATCTTTTTTGAGCTCCTGTGTTCACCATTATCTTGCACATCGTGCCAGAAACTGCCTACTAATGGGTTGCATTGAACTTGCCTTGCATAGGCCCAACCGCTTGGGGTGGACGGTAGAGCGACGGTGTATACAGTCTATACATGTACAGTGGTCGACATCGTGACTATGAGTACAGTCTAAACATGTTTTTGTTATAGATTCAGCTACTCTGAACAAATTCCAAGTAGCACGGGCTATGGTGAGCCCGTAGTGGACTTGCCTGGCACAGGAGCGGTGCTGTGTCGGGGAGTCTAAACAGGAGGATGGGCTCTTATATGCCCCTGTCACCTCTGGGTGGTTGAATCTTCATCAGTAACAGCTGATTGTGCTCAGGACCCTATTCTGAGTGTGGTCACCCTATTCTGAGTGTGGTCACCCTACTCTGGGTGTGGTCACCCTACTCTGGGTGTGCATGGTCACCCTACTCTGGGTGTGGTCACCCTACTCTGAGTGTGGTCCGGTACTTGTAGAGTATATACGGTTGAGCGACCATCAGGAGCGGAGAGGAGGCTCTTGGCTTTCACTCTGGCCTGGAGGGAGAGACCAGCATCATCAGTCACTGCACCTCCCTGGCCGTTCACCTCCCTGGCCGTTCACCTCTCTGGCCGTTCATCTCTGACCGTTCACCTCTGGCCGTTCATCTCCCTGGCCTTTCATCTCTGATCCCCGATGGTTCAAGTGATTGGGCACCGTTCCTACCCTCCGTCCCACAATCCCTGTACATCTTTCCCAAATCATGGCGGCTTTCCCAAATCATGGCTTACATTTATCAAACTGTCTACAGGCAGCGAAACTTCACAACCCAAGGTTGTTATTGTTATAAACAACCTCGTAGTGCTTCGGAGCTCGTAACTGCTTAATAAATGTTAACAAAGTCGTTATGGTGAGGAAAGATGCATAGGTTTCGTAAGTGGTTTGGGTAAATGTTTAACAAATCCTCGTATCCCTTTCGTGTGTTATATAGTCATCTTGGCTCAGAGCTTTCTCTTCATAATTCCTTTGCTTTCTTTCTAGCTCTCTCCTGTGAGACAAGAGCGCCACGTTACTTCACCGTCTGAGTCTTCCACATTATGGCAGCTGGCCAATGGTGGGGAGGGGAAAGCAGTAAACAAAGACTGCATCAGCCAATCACCTGTGACCTGCTGGAATCAATACTAACCCAAGCGCGACTGGAATAACCTCAGAGTAATCATTGTCCAGCAGTCATCAATCACCTCACCGTGCGGAGACTACCGGCATATAAGATCCCCAGGAATGCTAAGAATGTTCACCACTCCTGTGCCAGGTAAGTCCACTACGGGCTCACCATAGCCCGTGCTACTTGGAACTTGTTCCGAGTAGCTGAATCTATAACAACAACATAAGAATGTTACTCCACAGATCTCCAGTATCAGCTCTTGATAATGGTAATGGCTTAAAAGAGCCACCACTTACGGGCTATTCAT